AACACGAACTGTGTAAAGTAGGTTTTTACGTTTTTATGCGATAAGTAAAATTCGATGTTCTTAAAAAAAGGGACCTGTCTTTTTTTCGATAGTAAATGATAAGCAACTTTATATATTAAATATGAAAAACATGTATATTTTTACAGATTCACTTTATGGAAGTAAATATATTGTGTATCTCGTAATTTATAAAGGGAAAGAACATTCTGATTAACAATCTTTTTAATGTTTAGAAAACATTAATTCTGAATAACTTCTCCCACCTCAATCCTCATATACCAACACTTAAACTTATATGTATAGAGCAGCCCGGTCGTCCGGGCTGCAATCATGTATATGTGGATTTTGCTTTTGCTTGTAAAATATTTTGGAATTTTTGAAAAAAAAATTTACATCATTAATTAAATTCTGTAATTTCAGACTGGTAATGAATTTTGTATATGAAATACTTACATAAGAGGCCCATGGGCCACATGATCACCTGAGCATTTTAAGCTCGATTTGACAAATAAATGTAATGTGTAAATTAATTAAGAGATGAATCTAATTTTTGAGAATTCATGAGAACATGAACTACGACGCTTTAAGCCGGCATATTTCATGAAGCGCGTTAGCGCTTCATGATAAATATCCCAGGCGTGAAGCGTTGTGGTTCATGTTCCTCATAAATTCTCAAAAATTAAATTCATATATTTACATTATATATAGTTTTTGCACTGTCCGTCCGTCTGTCTGTCTGTTTGTCCGCAAAAACTTTAACCTTGCACATAACTTTTGATTGGTTGGAGCTATGACTTTCATATTTCACATGTGTATTCCTTGTGACAAGACCTTTCTTTGGGTACCATCATATATAACCTTTTGACCTTGACCTTGTAGTTTGACCCACTTTTGCAAAATTTTATGAGACTTTAATCTTGGCCATAACTTTTGTACAGTTGTTGCTTGGAGTTTCAAACTTCACATGTGTATTTTTTGTTACAAGACCTTCATTTGGATACCAACAACTTTGACCTTTTGACCTTGAACTTGGAGTTTGACCTACTTTTGAAAAACTTTAACCTTGGCCATAACTTTTGAACGGTTGGTGCTAGGGCTTTTATATTTAATATGTCTATTCCTTGTGACAAAACCTTCCTTTCGATGCAAGAACTTTGACACTTTGACCTTGACCTTGGAGTTTGACCTACTTTTGAAAAACTTTAATACTGGACATACCTTTTAAACCTTTTAAACATTTGATGCTACGGCTTTCATACTACCCATGTGCATTCCTTGGGACAAGACTTTCCTTTGGATACCAACAATACTGGCATTGACCTTGGAGTTTGACCTCCTTTTAAAAAAACTTTAACCTAGGCCTTAACATGTGAACGTTTGGTTCTAGAGCTTTCACATTTCACGAACACATGTATCACTTGTGACAAGACCTTCCCTTGGGGCCCCATTTGACCTTGACCTTGACGTTTTACTTACTTTTAAAAAAACTTTAACCTTCGCCATAACTTTTGAACAGTTGGACAAGACTTTCCTTTGGATACATCCAATACTGGCATTGACCTTGGAGTTTGACCTCCTTTTAAAAAAACTTTAACCTAGGCCTTAACATGTGAACGATTGGTTCTAGAGCTTTCACATTTCACGAACATATGTATCACTTGTGACAAGACCTTCCCTTGGGGCCCCATTTGACCTTGACCTTGACGTTTTACTTACTTTTAAAAAACTTTAACCTTCGCCATAACTTTTGAACAGTTGGACAAGACTTTCCTTTGGATACCAACAATACTGGCATTGACCTTGGAGTTTGACCTCCTTTTAAAAAAAACTTTAACCTAGGCCTTAACATGTGAACGTTTGGTTCTAGAGCTTTCACATTTCACGAACATATGTATCACTTGTGACAAGACCTTCCCTTGGGGTCCCATTTGACCTTGACCTTGACGTTTTACTTACTTTTAAAAAAACTTTAACCTTCGCCATAACTTTTGAACAGTTGGACAAGACTTTCCTTTGGATACCAACAATACTGGCATTGACCTTGGAGTTTGACCTCCTTTTAAAAAAACTTTAACCTAGGCCTTAACATGTGAACGTTTGGTTCCAGAGCTTTCACATTTCACGAACATATGTATCACTTGTGACAAGACCTTCCCTTGGGGCCCCATTTGACCTTGACCTTGACGTTTTACTTACTTTTAAAAAACTTTAACCTTCGCCATAACTTTTGAACAGTTGGAGCTAGAGCTTTCAAATTTCACGGGTGAATGCCACGAGACAAGACCTTTCTTTAGGTACCAACATTTTTGATCTCTTGACCTGGAGTTTGACTTGCATTTGACAAACTTTAACCTTCACCATTAGCTGCCATACGGGGGCATTAGTGTTTTACAAACACATTTTGTTTTTCTGATGACTTGCCACATATTTTTGTCATTCAACAATCATTTTTGAAAATAAAGGTTTGCACTATTTTTTTTTACTTCAATTACATCACAATGAAAATATTCTTCCTCATCCCATGGTAGTTCATGAGAAAGTAAACTTTTTTCTATTTGGAAAGAATCTTAAGGAAAAATATTTGGAAATGTAAATATTAAAGAATTATTGTCGCTTTTTCCTTGGTTACCCAAATATGAAGGAGTGTGCATTTAGAGGCAAACATCTTAGAGTGGGTATTACTGTCTTATGACAGCATCTAGTTTATACAGTCAATGCATAAAGTTTGTGTTTTCGTGAATGTTGCAGGATAACCTCCGAGGTCGAGAAATGTTGTTTGCAACATAAAAGCTGAGGCGTTAGTGGAGGCTTTTATATTTCAAACAACATTTCGAGACCGAACCATTCACGACAACAAGAACTTTATTTTCTATTCTATTAACAGTTCTAAAATACGTTGATCATTTACTCTATAGAGAAACGAATTAGGTCACCATGTCGTGATTAGGCTATTCCATTGAACACCAGAGGGTCAATTTGTTTGTAATGGTATGCAGACGATTTGAGCTTTTGTTGGATTAAAAACGTCCTTTAATTATTTATAAATTTGTTCGTAATATATATTGATTAATTTTTATGATTGTAAAATAACAAAATCAGTTGTCTATTTTTTTGCTTTATCAGTAAAATCACGGAGTATAAATGTTATGGGGAGGTCCGTAGAACACCTTCATTTAGCTATAAAAAACCAAAATTATCAGCTGCTTCAGGCAATACACACTGTTTAGACTGCGGAAGACGACACATCGATATGGTTCAAATAAGTATAAGACTCTAAACTCAAATATTCATTTCAACTCAACTGTACAGTTTTGATATGTGTTTCTGAATCTGATAATTTTTGTTGACGTTCGTGATTTATTATATAAATAGTGCACGTTTTTGAGGGTAACAGTTGAAATTGACACCCCAAGGAAAACCATTGTCAACCGCCGCGTCAGCGGAGGTTGACAATGGTTTTCCGAGGGGTGTCAATTTCAACTGTTACCCTCAAAAACGTGTACTATTTATTTTATTATACTGAATGTCTTATTGATTTCGGATGTCATAAAAAAATTCGGAGATCGTCGTTAAGTTCACGCTTAGAAAGCTTTCAAACTCCCCGCTTCTATTTTTCTCAATAAGAAAGCTTCGGAAAAGATTTACCAACCTCTTTATTGTTTGTTTGCTACTCAAAAAGTCCTTTATCATCTAAAGTTTGCACTCGCAAGGATGTTTCGTCTGTCGTTTGTTGTTTTCAAGTAAGCTACAGCTTTTATTGACGTCGTTTATTCGGCTTCTTTCAAACGCACAACCGACGTTTTGAGAATTCTACGGTGAACCGTACGCGCATGATTTGAACGCATGTGATATTTTCGTAATGTTACCCGTTGTCAAGTCTGTTGCTAACGCTGAGGGTAACATTACGGATTGTTAAATGCGTCTAAACCAATCAGATTTTAGTATTTAACATGAAAGTATAATAATGGAGAATAATGTCCGCAGCATTTCTTTGACCTCGACAATAACTGTCGTAGAATTTAATTTTAATGGCAAAGATGTTATTTTTCATGTACATAATCATTATTTAGCTAACTCTAAAAAATGTGCACGAAATTTACATGTCGACCGCTGCGTGAAAATATATCGATTCGAAAATTACACTATTCGCGGGAACGGATCTAAAAGCCTGTAGTGCACAATGCGGATATAATTTTATTCTAAAAGTTATGAAAATTAAGAATAATCCGTTGTAATATTTAACTTAGTTATATCTTTGTTAATAAAATTGTCATTCTCATCTATTGTTGCACTGACTTGAAATATAGGCGAATATCATAGTGATACGTAAAATTAAAAGTTGTTCGGCAACTAAAGTTTACATTATATACATTGGAAAATGAACTAAACGCTCTCTCCATAGTAATCCAATTGTTCAAAGTGATGAAAGTAAGGGAAATTAAATTATTCCTACATATAACATCTATTCTAAGAAGAAGAAAATCGGCGTTTTCTGACGTCAGACTCCATGTAGAAAGTAGATTTGGACATCATAATTTATGTTTCAGTCAAAGGTCAAAATAATTCTTACAAAATTAAATATTTTATAGAAATCCATTGTTAAAATATGTTTTTCTTCGAGATATAACCTATTGGAATTTTTCTTTGAGAAATAAATAAAGTATACGATCACATTTGACATCAATTTGCTGTATTGAAATAATTTTTGGAGAGAGGGGATTATGATAAAGATAGGGATATGATGAGAGAGAGATAAGATAATTTTTTAAAGCATTATGCTTCCATAAAAAAATCTTTTTCTATCATCAATGCAGAAACTGTTCTAAAAGCTTCATGGATTTAATTGTGAAGATAATCAAATTAAAAACATCATAACATCTTTAAAGACAAGAGGAAGAGCAAATAAAATTGTTTTCGATTTTTCTTAATTAAAATTGCCATTAAAAATTCATGCCAAGAAGAGGCAAAACTAATTTTCTTATTGCTCAAAAGGTACTCACTGTGTCGTCTCGCAGATTAAGTCCGAAAGGCACAGATGTAAAATTTCTCCCCTCTTTTATACTCCAGAGTAAGCGGAACAACGGGAATCACCTTATTAATATAATCAATGAAATTTGATTTATAATTTTTCGTCTACATCGCACATGATTTGCATGTCAATTACTATGGAATCCGGATAGGGCCATGTAGTTCATTATCGTAGTATCGCACCATCGAGGATAAGGTCGACGTTGTGATGACGCAATAATGTGATGTAGATGAAGTTATGGTGCGATGACGATGATTCGATGTCTCAACAATGCGATGACGATGGTGCAATGGTACGATGAAGCCCTAGCGCGATGGTACGAAAGCGATAACACGGTGGTGCGATGATACAATGACGATGAAGCGATACTCACTATCGGATCATCGTGCGTCATCGTCATCGCCGCATCGCAATCTCGTGCTATCGACCTAACAGTCGATAGTGAACTACGTGTCCTTTGGAATCCGGATAGGGCCAAGTAGTTCACTATCGCACCATCGAGCATCGACTAAAGGTCGATGGCGCGATAATGAGATGGCACGATGACGGTGAAGAGATGGCGCGACAATGCCATGTCGATGGTGCAATAACACGGTGGAGCGATAGTGAAGCTCCCTTTATCGTCATCGTAATATCGCGCCATTGTTATCGCACCATCGTGTCATCGTTATCGCACCACCGCGCTATCGCTTCATCGTACCATCGCATCATCGTCATTGCATTGTCGCGCCATCGCATTATCGCCATCGTGTTATCGCACCACCGCTTCATTGTCATCGCTTCATCGTCATTGCATTATCGCGTCAACGCACTATCGACCTAAACCTCAATGTTACGATTATGCGATAGTAAACTACATGACCCGATCCGGATTCCATAGTGGCCCTATCCAGATTCCATAAATTATTGGTACTGTTAGAAAAAGTCACCAAAAAACCCCCAAATTTATGGCATCCGGATAGGGCCATGTAGTTCACTATCGCACCGTCGAGCATCAACTAAAGGTCGATATCGCGATAATGCGATGGTGCAATAGCGCAATGACGAGATGGCGGAACAATGCAATGACGATGACGCGATAGTAAACATCGCTTCATCGTCATCATACCATCGCGCGATCGTCATCACACCATCGTGTCGTCTCTATCACACTATCGTGTCATTGCGCTATCGCTTCATCTAACCATCGTCATCGCATTGTCGCGCCATCGTATTATCGTCATGGCCCTATATATCGCACCTTCGCTTCATCGGCATCGCATTATCCATCGCGACAGCGCACTATCGATCCAAATCTCGAAGGTGCGATGACGTGATAGTGAACTGCATTGTCCTATCCGGATTCCATACAAATTTGATTTAAATAATTACCTATTTGTGGCAGATCGTTAAGTGGATGAACAAATGATAATGATATTTTTTGGCAATCTGACGCCAAACAAAACCACTAATAAAACGTTAATTCATTTGCATTTCACATCCTTTGGCTATTACTGCCCGGAGACTACTGTATAATTTAGAAATTAAAATTTCTCTAAAGACCCCAACAAGGAAATGATGTGCATTAATGCAGGCACGTAGTATCGGAAAATAGTGGGGGGTGGGGGGGCTGCCCACCCCCAATTTTTTCCAAACATAATCTATTTTTGTTGAAAATCTTCATTAAAACGCTGGTTGCCCCCTCCTTTTTGTTGCAGTATAGTCAAATAAGAGTATTGAGTGATGTATTAATAAAATTTGGTTGTGAAAAAAGTTGTAACCCCCCCCCCCCCCAAGAAATAGAATTTTAGAGATTGGACACTTCACCCTTTTTTCTTTGCTTGTCCAAGTTTTTTCAGTAAAGTTGTCCAAAAAAAAATCTCCCCCCCCCCCTTACAACGATTATACGTGCCTGAACGATGAAGTGTTAATCCCTTTTCTACTTTGAGGTTTTCCAATTTAGAATGCCACATTTTCAATTATTAGTTATAAATGCATTTGATAACTAAATTTTCTTTGTTTTTCTTTTATAGACCTCTCTGGCATTTGATAACCTACACATTCCAGCCTTGTGTCTAAATGTCATACTTTATACCTGAGTCCCCATCCTGTAGTAACCTCTCCACTCCGTACACATCCGTAGGTCAATCATCAAATCTGGGGTTCTCTCTTTGTATAATCTCTATCTTAAACCATTTAATTCAACGTTATTACAACTTGCACATTGAAGATATGAACCTCCTATTTTGAAATAATTTAAAAATAAAGATTGTTATTTTTTTTATGGAATCTGGACAGGGCAAGGTAGTTCACTATCGCACAATCGAGCATGGACTGTTTCGTAGATGGCACGATGACGCAATAATGCGAAGACGATGACGCGATGACGACGATGCAATGAAACGATAATACGATAACAAGGGTGGAATAGAACGATGAAACGTATGGAATCCGGATAGGGCCATGTAGTTCACTATTGCAACATCGAGCATCGAATAAAGGGTCGAAAGCAAGTTTTTAGACTTGCCTAGATGGCTGAGCGGTCTAGCGCGCTTATCCTTATAAAAAAGTGAATTTCTTTGTGCTTTATATATATATATATATATATATATATATATATATATATATATATATATATATATATATATATATATATATATATGATCACCCCTAAGAAACATCGCCTCCCGTGTCGCAGTAGGTGCTGGCACGAAAAAGATCCCTCACTGCTCAATGGCCGTAAGTGCCGAGTATAGGACAAAATTTGCAGCTCTCCACCGGCAAATGGTGGCGTCTCCATATGAGTGAAAAATTCTCGAGAGGGACGTTAAACAACATACATACAAAACCCCTAAGAAACCTAGTGTTTGGAAAAGAATTAGGCTTCTAAGCATACGAAAAGTAAAGGGACTTAGTGATATCGGAAAATATTTGTCAAACCTCGAGCTCCATAAGGAAAATGATTTATCTGGTCCTGTTTAAAACTGTACATATCAAGTAATAGGTATTATGAGAGTAACACCCAGCCTTCGAATGTCTCTCTCTCTCTCTCTCTTTTGAGTTATGACTGAAAATGGATGTAATAACACGGAAGAATTCTTAACAGTGTGGGCTACAGATACCCAGCCAAAACTGATATCTGAATTCGTGTACATTTCAGTCTGTATAGTGTTTTAGGGGATGGTCACTTCAATCTGAAGGGGGAAACAAATTTTTTTGAGTCAGAATATTTACATATTTTAATGCCAGTCAAGACAAATTATTTATTTTCAAAATTACTAAGGACATATTATTTATTTTCTTCTTCGTTGAAAAAGTTTGACAAGCAAAATGAATAGATAAATTTCCAATTCCAGAACTCTATTTCGTGGGATATGGTGGAAGGGGGAAGGGAGGTTTTAGCAACAATGAAGGATTCGACATTTTCGAGGACAGATACCGGGTAATTTACCTGTATTTCCGAAATATGCCAGCCCCCTCCCCGTCATTCAGAATGAAATGGTCGTCCTCTTAGTATTGTGTACACTGTGTTCTTTTAACTTTTATCATGTATAATTCAATTACAGTAATTATAAGTAAGAATATAATTAGAGATGAAAGAATAGTTTATATCTTTCACAGGTATATATATATATATATATATATATATATATATATATATATATATATATATATATATATATATATATATATATATATATATATATATATATATATATAATGCTTCCATATTTTGGCAAGGATCTCGGTCAACAAGAAAAACATAATACAAATGTATCTCAAAACAGCTTTGAATTTTTCTCACACATTTCATAATCAAACGCATCATTCGTTCGATTCGCATTAGGTTTCGCATTAGCTAGAAATCGATTGAGTTTTCCCCTCGTTTACATCCAGCATGCATTAATAGATAAAGAGTACTGAAAATCAAGGACACAATAAATATTTACTGTGCATAATATTGATATGTGCAGCTGTGTGCGCAGAAAAATTGTTTGAGTAATTATAAGGTCTTACATCTTCAACGGAAGACCCTTCTATTGTTGTACTGGTTCTTTTTCTTCTTTTTATCATTTTTTTTCCGACATCGGTTCGTTGAATTTTCATGAAACTTTCAGAGATGACAGGGGCTAAAGTTTTCTCGAAATGTTTTTTTTTTCAATTTTGATTATGTCACTTCCAGTCGCGGATTGACCTATTTTTAACGTTTTGCTGCTATTTTTGTTGGTCCTACTCCTCCGAAATTACTCGAGATAAAAATCTAAAATTTTCAGGAATGATAGATTGTGACCCGTAGTTTTGCCCTGACTTTCGATATTTTAGAAAGATGTTTAAATTTTTCAAATTTTCAAATTTTATTTTTCAAAAATTAAATTTTTCAAAGTTTTAAAATCTTTTATGATAGGAATAAAAAATTTAAAAGTTTGATTCTTGAGAAAGCTATAAAATTTTAAAATTTCTTGACTTTTTTTACCGTTATTGATTATTATGATAATGAATATATTCTGGAGCGATATGAAATCTACATTGCTCCAGAAGCAAAAACAAAAAATAACAGTTTTTGGCACATTTTGAAAATTAAACATGTTAAAATTTCAAATAAAATTATTACTTGAAAATAATCAAAACCTCTTTAAAATTATTTAAAAATTCATTTTTTAAACATGTTTTGAAAACAGGAACATCAAATCATTTTAATTTGAATGCATTTGAGACGATATAAGGGAATACTAAATGGGTACATTCCACTAATTGTTTTCCCATAGGCGACAATGTTAACGTTTCTTCAAATAGCAATGTCCCTAATTTTCGTTCAGCAGTGAGTGACCCCTCAAATCACAGCACATCAAGTTGTCTTTCCTTGGTTAAAATCTCGAGGTGGCATGTCAGATTTGTTTTCCGGCAAAACGCGTCTGTCTGCGTTAACCTCTGAAAATGAAAGTGAAAGTAGGAAAATTCAAGCCTTCTCACTGGTGTTATAATACATACAATAATTCTGCTGATCTTCTTGATATATATATATATATATATATATATATATATATATATATATATATATATATATATATATA